AATTTGGATAAAGGCTATTCCGGTGGCTGTTTATCTATAGCTTTTAAATTGTTGAGAGAAGGATTAAAAAAGCTTAAACCAATTGTAAGATGGAGAATAGCTAATGGAGTTTCAGTAGATGCTTTTGAAGATACTTGGATAATGGACAATTGCATTAACAAATGGCCAACATTTGTTGTTCTGTATGATAGCAATTTTGTTCGGGTAAACAAATTCATTCTTGATTTTCATTGGAATGATCAAGAACTAAGCAAATATTTTGGCACAGAACTCATTAACTTGATCAAACAAATTGAAATAAAGAAGGATTGTAATGAAGATTATATGGAATTGACAAAACAAAATTCTGGAATGACTATATCAGGATTAATCAGCAAATATGAAGCTTTACAAATGGAAAAGGATTTCAATTGGAAATGGATCAGAAAAGCTAAATTGAACTCTCGGGTGGAGGTTTTCTGGTGGAGAATGAATAGAGAAGCATTACAATCTTTCCAATTTCTGTGTTATAGAAGATTAATACAAAATCCTAATTGTCCAAGAGGATGTTATGATATAGAAGATGTAGAACATATTATTTGCAAATGCAGGAAATTAAGGGAAATATTCCAGATTTTACACGATTGGGGATTCTATATTCCTATATTTGATACAAAGGAGCGTATTATTAATTGGATTGAGTTCAACATTAAGAAGAAAGGGATGTTGATAAATTTATATTGCAACACAGTGTTTCTAGTTTGGAAAAGTAGAAACAAGTTAATTCATGATGGTGTTGAAAGCAATTCAAGTTATATAGCTTCTAATGCTATTTGCCAATCTGTAATTTCCCTTAATTTTAGTCAATTTAATTTGGGCTTTTGGGATGTTAATCAGTCGTTAAGACTGTCAAAATCTTGGCATCCTCTTCCACCCAATTGGCTAAAGGTTAATGTTGATGCTTCACTTCTTTCTTCACACAAAGCTGGAATAGCTGCAGTTTTCCGAGATAGCAAAGGGAGGTTCTTTTTTGCTTATGGAAAGTCACTTCAACATTGGGATATAGCTCAATTGGAGATGCTTGCTATACAATCTCTAAAGGAGGTGATAAAGGATTGGATGTTCAAATACAAGGGTATTATCATAGAAGGAGACAATTCAAATATCATTTCATATTTCAAAAATGCTTGGAAAACAGGGAGGTTCAAGGATGATGGTATGGAATTTCTTACTAGTTTCAACTGTCTTATTTAATTGTATTAATAGAGAATACAATAAGTTAGCAAACCTATGTGCTAACTATGCTCTTTTTAGTAGCTTTGAGTGGGTGGATTGTTTAGAGAATAAGATTCCTCCTTCATTCTTTAAAATTTTGAAGGAGGAATCTAGTTTGTAATTGCTTCAAAAAAAAGAAGATAAATTTAATTAGAAAATTTATTGTTTTTGTCAAAAGAGACATCCTTTGAGATAAGGAATTCTTCTATGATAAGATGACAATACTTGTAACCTTTTTTAGTAGAGGAATATCTGCTAAAAAAATATTTAATGGCTTTAGGATTTAGTTTATCCAAATGCTACTTGTGAATATGGACATAAACAATGCACCAAAAATTTTTTAAAGGAATTTGAGAGAAATAATTTGTGGGAAAAAATATAGCTAGATAGTTTTTAAAAGTCCATCACTCTTAATGTTATTCTATCAATTTGGCAAGTAGCAGTTATAACAACTTTTCTCCAGTATATATCTTTTTTGTACTTGATTCTAGAGAAGAACAATCTTGTTAATTTCTAGGAGAATTGGTAATCACAAGTAGCATTGGTAATATTTTTTATTCTGTCACACCTCATATTGTTGGAGAGCATCAAAATAGGAGAATTGGTAAATTATACTGTCTTTATAAAATAAAGAAGATAATATATGATTAAAGTTATCACAAGTAAAATATTTTGATGTTGATATTAAATTAATTTTTTATCAAGATAGTGGAAGTGGAGAAAATAATACTAATTTTAGATTTTCATGCAATCATAAGTGAAATTAACAAATCCAATAACTAGAAATGTTGTGGATTTTGAAGGATCCCCAAACAACAGAATGAACAAACATAAAAGAAGTGAAGGATCTAAAATAACTTTAAAAATCTCTGATACATCAATGTTTTGCAATTTCACAAGTCCAACAAAATTTTCAATGTTTGCATTAAAAAACATAGAAAGAAACAAACAATGTAGGTTTTGAAAAAGGGATGCTCTAGCCTATAAATATCTTCTCAAACGACTTATGTATTGAAGGTGAAACTGAAGAAACATAATGAATGACCCGTATCCAAGAAGATATTACTCATCCTTATCTTTGCTTTCTTAATTAACTTACTCATATTGATGTCTTATGATACAGAATGAGCAGCAAATAAGATTACCTTGTAGCTGTCGTCTTCTAATAAGGTAAAAAGAAAAAGTTTTGGAAGAAATAAACACTGACCTCGCTCTGATAACACAATAGAAAACTTGTTTTGAATTTTTTTACTTATTTTTGTGTGTAGATATTGAAGGTATTTATAGGCTGCTCTAATAATACTACTAATGGAAAAAGATAAATATAGTTTATACAAAATAAATTAATAATGCAACAAGGGGCCATTTATAATTTGAAAGCTCAGTCATGTCATTCACAAATAATTATTATAAGATTTATTTAAGATAAATTGACCTAAATCATTAACCTTATAAAAGTGCTATATTTAACTGGCATTGAAAAGTCGTGACCTACAAAGATAATTTTTTTCTTATTTTCATGCAAACAGTTAAACCATTGCTGGGGAAAAGAAGAAAATACTCCGAAGGCACAAATGGCAGCTCAAGGCTTCAGAATTCAATGCAACTGTCATTATATTGATTACTTCTTGATGAGGGCAAATTATTCTTTGCGGAGTTGCCAATAAAAATGCGCCACGTTATCTCAAAACTGTACCGCTCTCGGTATTGAGCACGGAACCGAGTGGTACCGAGCATCGGTACAGCTCGGTACCAAGCGGTACCGATGTCCGCACAAAATAATCTCTCCTTGATGAGACCCCTGAGAGGACTGTTTTCTTGTAGAAATTCGTGATAAGAGACTTCAAAAGAAATGAAATGGTATTTGAGAAGCGGGCAAATTTTTCTGTGCGGAGTTCGGGCGTCGTCTAGAAGCCAATAAAAATGAGCCACGTCACCTCAAAGGTGCACTGCAAGCTATACCGAGCATGGTACCGAGTACCATGCTTGGTACCGAGTACCATGCTTGGTACCAAGCGGTACCGGACAGTTCTCCCATCAGTATCCGCACAGAATAATCTCTCAAGCGTAAGTAGCTGTTGTCATGACAACGAGTCTCACGTGTATGCATTATCTAAACCTAGAAGATTAAATGAAGTACCTGAAGAGAGTAGCAACAGCAGATTTCCTGTTGCAGTAAGAATACAGCTGAAGTTTGCACGTTTTAACAGCAGGAAATCAATTATGGATCTATCTGCAGTAAAACTATTTTTTTTTTTTTTTGGGATTTTTACATACATAACACCTGAAACTACTCAAAATACCTATTCAACACCTAAAGTTTCATATTTACTAATGTACCACTTATTTCTCATTCTAAACATTAGATATAGCACTACGTTTCGTTCCGTCAAAACCCCTCTCCTGAACCCACTCAATTTTCCCGCATGAAAGCTTCGGCGAAACTTCGTCGCCTCTTCTTCACTCGAGCAGGTACGAATCCCGTCTCTCCTTCTTCGCCTCTTCTTCGATCACAGTTCACATCGCGTGCCCTAGATAAATCTCGTCTCTCCTTCGTCGCCTCTTCTTCGGCGAAGCTTTGGCGCTGTTAAAAAAAGCTGGTCTTTCATCTCCTCCAATACCAAGTGTAACGCTTAGGAAATAATGGAAATGTTTTTTCACGCGAAGCTTTGGCGCTGTTAAAAAATGCTGGTCGCATGCTGTTCATCTCCTCCAATACCAAGTGCAACGCTTAGGAAATAATGGAAATGTTTTTTCACCGAGGCTTAATTTGGCATTTTTATGAAAAGCTGTTCTTTTTTTTTTTTTCTAACTCATTTATTATTTCCATGGACAGAAATGAGTTCCATTAATTTTTGCTACATCGTCCTGAAATTTGGTGGATATTGGAGTGAGGTGCAAGGTCAAACTCGAATGAAGTATGTAGGCGGAAATCAGAAAACCTTGAAGCTTCAAAGAGATGAAATCAGTTTGTTGTTGCTAAAAGAACGAGTTGAAGCACTTTGTCATTGGCTACGGGGACAACCGTTCGGCAGACCCAAAAAAAGGCGAATAAAAAATTTCTTAGAAGCAGGAAAGAAAACAAAAACTGGACATAGGTGCAGTCGTTGCAATTTATTGGGCCATCATAGAAGTACCTGCAAGAATCCATTAAATGCGGCAGGGGACGACATTGTTAATGAGAGCATACAACAAGATGTTGCCTAGTACATAGGACGTCCTGCTGCTGTTTAGATTGATGTAACAAATTGTCTTGTTACAGATTTTGCTATATGTGTTTCTTACACTATACTTTTGCTGCTATAACTATTTTCCTGTAAACATTTTGTTGGAAACTGCAATGGAAATACATTTTGTTGGCTGAAGAAGATACCCTTAGACTTCGGGTATTGCAATGGAAATACATGTAAACGAACTGCTATTACTAACAGGTATTGCAATGTAAATAGATTTGGTTTTACCGAAAACAATATGACTGCCATTGCACAGATTTACCAAGAGCAATATATTCTCATTGGAGAGATTTACAGAGAGATTTACCAACAGCAATATATTCTCATTGAATAATTAATCAACAAAGTCAAACACTGATGAAGAAGCTAATTAAAATTACATTTCAAAGTCAAAGTTACATCCAAATGATTCAATCCAAATCAACAATTACAGGTGGTAAGCAAATTTTTTATAGCGATTGCTACAATTACACTTAGGATTATAACCAACAATTTTTTAATCTGTAAAAGTTCATCTCTTAATGATGATATAGCAATCTCTTCAGCACAATGCGAGTCTGAATCATACGGCATATCATTTACTTCATCACACCAACGAAAGAAGTTACAATCGTCTTCTGATCTGTTCCGGGAGCATCTGTAGACTTTTCTTCCATAACTACGTGCTTTGTTGGACGTATATATTGTACACCGCAAATTACAATGACAATATATTCGATTACTTGTATTTGTAATTGGTGTTGCTGACGAACTCGAAGTCATTTCTGATTGGCTTAATGGCTTCATAAGCAATTAAAAAACACCTTCATAATGAAAAATTGGCAAACTTCAGTAATGCATAGCAGTAATGATAAATAAAAGGGAAACTAGTAATTTAGAACTTTTTACAACTCCTCTGTTCCTGATAGGATGCGAAAAATCTGAAGGTGTAAAGCAGCTTAATTTGGCATCTGCATATGTTTAGTACCGTTTGCAACCACTTCAAACCTCTATACATATATAAAGATGAGATGTAAAGCAGACTAATTTAACAACAACTTACAGTTTCCTGTAGCTCCCCGACTGATTGGGGAAGAAGACTACAAAACAAAAACTTATGTGAGGCGAAGTCCAACAGATCGGAGAAGAAGACAATAAAACAACAACAAATTCATTCATATGGTGAAAAAAATTAGAATCATCCTTCGATCTTCGAACAACAAATACATTCACGAAATATAAAAAACGATCTTCAAACCTTGACAATCTTCTCTTCGAACATGACCGAGAAGAAACGAGGCCAAGGGAAGATGCGCCTCGTGTGAAACCTTCAAACGCGACAGCAAATGCAAGGGGTTGGATTCGAGAACGACGGGAAGACGAAGGGTATACGCGGCGAAGGGAAGGGTTTCACGACTGAATAGAAGAGAAGCGAGGTCGGGCTTTTTACACGGAACCCAAACGGCGTGATTTCACGTATTTTTAGTGGTACATTAGTAAATATGAAACTTTAGGTGCTGAATAGGTATTTTGAGTAGTTTCAGGTGTTATGTATGTAAAAATCCCTTTTTTTTTTTTCAATTATATGTATTGTAGCTAAAGTTTTGGATAAGCTAAAACTATAATTTATAAATTTGAACTTTCCATTGTTGTTTATCTTTCAGTTGTAAGAACTTTTCCTTCAATAAATTTTCAACTAAGTTTTTCATCAAATAATTTTTAAAATTAAAAACTTATATCATGCACTTCATTAAATAATCCACATGTATATGTAGAAGCTGCCGTGTATTGCATTCTAATATATGCTAAGCTCTTTTATGTCATACGAGTGAATCAACTCTACTAAACAAGTGGATCTAGTCCTAAACATTTTGAAAGGAAGCTTATCCATCTTGACATATTGGCATCTACCATATAAAACTCTATCATTCAAATTTAGTTCATGAAACCTAGTGACTAATATTTCGTTTGGGACGGCTTTTTTATTATTTATGAAAGCATTTTTTTAGTAAAAAAATTAAAATTTTTTGTACTAAAAAATTATTTTAAGCAGTAAAAAAGTCATCCCAAATAGAGCCTAAGGCTTCGTTTATGATGACTTTTTATTGCATCTTAAAACAGAGTTTTAAAATTTTTGTACTAAAACTCTGTTTTAAAAAAGCAATAAAAAATCGTCCCAAACAAAACCTAAGTTTATACTTTACCATGGAGATAGCAGTTAAAATTTATTATCATGGAAACAAACTCTTCTTGGTCTAAGTAAGAGTAATACAAATAGGGGTTTGAATAAATGGTCACCACAAAAATTGGCATGATGACTAAATAGTAGGGGTGTCAATTTCGGGTCACGGGTCGGGTTCGGGTCGAACCCGGAAATGACCCGGCACCATTCGGGTCAACCCGAACCCGACCCGTTTTTACAAACGGGTCGATTTAACTGACCCGAACCCGACCTGCTTTGGGTTCGGGTCAACCCGACCCGACCCACGGACACGGCAAGGCCGGGAGCAGCTTCACGGCATCGGCGGCAGTGACGTCCGGCGGCAACGAGTCTTCAGCGCGGCAGCAGCGACCATTTGCGTGTCGTGTCAAATATTGACACCCCTACTAAATAGTGTTAAGTGAAAACTTCAAGATTATAATGTCATCATCAACATGATTTGAATCTAACACCTATAAATCGTTCACAGCGAAACTAAAAGAAAAAAAAAAGAACATAAGAGGTTCATTATATATCAATATGTAACTTTTTTTTATCCTTACACAACTGATAGTTCTAAGTGTTTACGCATACAATATTGCGGATCAAGCATTTTTTTTAGGGTAGACAAATTTAATATATAAAAAAGTCAATAATAAAAGTTATATATATAAGCTAAAATTTTAAGTAAAATTTTGTATTTCATTATAATTTATAAATTAAAAAAAAAATCATAAACTTTACATTTTTTTGATAATATTGTATAATGGCTTTATTGAAAAAAGAATCAAATACTTCATTCTCATATATGAGACTAGGCACTCTTTGAACTAGGCATCACCCATTTGTAGCATAACACAGATAAAAATAAATAAATCTATGAAATTCAAACTTGTAAAATTTAGATTTTTTTAGCAGATCAGATAAACAAGTATTAAAAAAATGAACCAATGCCAAATAGTCAATGCAGAGGCCGGGCTTAGAATGCTGTCCGAAGACTAATTAGAATGAGTCACGTCAATGATACCGAGCCGCAGTACCGAACATAGAATTGACATGACGTATTTTGATTGATCTTCTGATGACGTTCGGCATCCCACACAAAATTATTAATCCCATGACCCTAATTTATCTCATTTCTACCGCTCCCTCTCCCGCAGCACTCACGAGTCTTCTTCCCGCCGTAAACCAACCTTCGCGCGCTTCGTCTCCCGAGCTGAGCCTCGGACGTCTGCTCGAACTTACCTCTACGTCTGTCCGGCTGGAAAACTACCTTCCCGCCACCGATCGCGTACTCCTTTCCTCCTACGTTCCTCTTCTGGCATTTTCTAGCATTTTCCTTCAACGTGCTGTCTTCCAGCTAGGTAATGACGAAGTTCTTCATTTAAGTAATTAGAGATTTTAATACAGTAGTTCCCTTTCATGAGATCAGCCTAGCTCGTTTTGTTTCTTGTTGAATTCACAGATGTCTGGGAGATGGGAACAGTTTAATCCTAGCCTCTGACTGCCAAGATTAGTATCTTGATTGCTAAATTTCTTATTCACCTCTCCTAATAAACCTTTCGTATTTCTTCATGGTTATTTGGTGTGTTGCCTTTTAGTCCATCTTGAGGCAAATGAATCTTTTCATCAACAATGTATTCTTATTTCAATTTATTTTTAACATAATTGTTTTCAATTTATACTGGTTTTACTTCATCTCCATCTCAATGTTGTTAGATCACATTGGTCAAATAGTTGGTTGTTTAATATCTTTTACAATTTTTCAAAAAAGTAAAGTATAATATTATAGATTTGATTTTCTAAGACTTATAATACTGAAATGTGTTTATTTTATTTTATTTAGAGAAATATTCGAGAATTTATTTAGGATCATTGTTTGTTGTTTGTCAATAACGAAGGAAATTGTTTGAAATAAATTTTTGAAGGAAATCGTGCATTTCTTCCAAGCGGTTATTGATGTGTTCTAAGATGACATATTTTGTGAGTACTAAATGATCCATTTAATAGACTTTATAAATTTGTAAATGACATTTTTATCATTGATATTGCATGATCATGGTGACAAAATTGAAAATAATTTATATGGAGATAAAAAAAGATTAAATTTCCACTGTATTTAAGTATGGAGGAATTTGGTTTTGAACTAATGACCAACATAGATTGATGTATGATGGTGACAAACAAAGGACTGTGAAATTTGAGAATAGACAACTCAATATTTTCACGCTTAGAGGAGAGATTGCTAAAATATGTTCATGGCTTAAAGGCACATTCATATAATATGTACTATTACATATATGGTACATCACCGAAGGAATACAAAGATATAAATTATGACTTTGATGTGACTGAGTTGATAAAAATATCTTATGATAATTTGCATGTTGAGATAGTTATTACAGTACAAGAAGTAGAATGACATGAATCAATTTCTAATCTAAGGTTGCGAGTTCTGAATAGATGATTGAATGTTCTATTAACCATAATGAAGGTATGTCGTGTGTTCCAACTATTTGTTCTAAAGATATATCTATTGGCACTTTTTTTCTTGATGCAACAAGTTTTAAGCATGATATGCGATTAGTTGTCATCAAGGAGAATTTTGGGTTAGGATTAAGGTTAGTGATAAAAAAAAGTGTTATTGCTACATATTCTTATCAAGGTTGCAAATAGAAAATTCGAGCGTCCATGTGTGAAGACACTTGATAGAGTTCACACTTCTCCTAAGTTTAATCGTGCTAAGAATAGACTAGCTACATATGCATGGGTTGCCAAGGTTTTACAAATGCACCTATAAAGTTGCCTTCCACTTTTAGGTCCTCAGTGGTAGGTATACAATACACATTTGAGGTGTAATGACAATAAAGTTGGGAATACTGTAGCCAGACTTTCGCAACTAATAAATTTGAAGAACTCATTAAAAGCTATAGAAAATATGTTGAAACAACACAAAATTAGGTTATGCCAATGCAACATAATTCATCTTTTAAGTAAAATTACAGGATAGTAACAAGGAAAAATACCAACAGAACTTACCTTTGCAAACAAAATG